GATAAAAAATTAAAAAGAAAAAATCGCGTTAAAACGAAGTTAAAAGAACACATTAAAAAGAACGCGTTAAACATGATTAAAAATGATCTACGTTTTTGATTGATTGAAAAAGTGAATTTTGATCACAAATTTTATTGGTCAAAATATTTGTACAACCCAATCACAAAATCCGAACGATCAACTTTGAAATGGCCTATAGATTACACAGAGTGCCAGGATCGCGGAAATCAAAAATAGAAAACAAATTTTTGTGGAATGGCAATCGCCAAAAAAGGAAATGATCGGGGTTATGGTTGCACAAAACTTAAGGAATACGGAAATTTAAAAATAGAAAAATTATTTTGGAAACGGCTATCATCGAAAAAGGAAATTGATCGATATACCCGCGCATAGAAATTAAAAATCATGTGATTTTTCGTGATTTTCATAATTCCGCCCAAAATTTATAATTCCAGCTGGAATTATGAAAATTGATTAGATTATACTGGATAATTTGAAATCCGATGAATAGAAATTTGGATGATCCAAAATTTGATCAGATTGGATGACAGATTGATCAGATTTTACCGGAGCTGACCTCTAGTTCAATGACTAAATATATTAACAACCTGAAAATGGAATTTTATATACAAACAATTAAGTTATATTTCTGTTCAGAAAACGATGATTGGGATTTTAAGATGATTGGAATTTTAAATATGTAATAAAAAGATATCTTAAAGCAGAACGTCACCTTACTCAAGCAGAAGAGATCCTTTTAGGTAGTTTTACATGTAAGACAAATTAACCTCTAATTGCATCAGATACAGCTGAGTTCTACATATAAAAAAAATCAACCTCCAATCATACCAGATACAGCTGAAGCATTAAAAACAGCAGTAGATATTCAACTGGTTCAAAAGCTACAAACTAAAGTCATTTCACTCCATCCTGAAACTGAATCGCAAATGCAACTATGACTGAACTTAGTAGGTATTCTTAAAATGAAGCTATTCAATTTATAATATTTTTACCATTAATTATTTGCGATACATAGTATTATTTATAATTTAAAAAAAATTAAAATTTTATTCTTTATGTGGTTTCGCTAAAGCTCTGACTCAGATCAGGTTGACCTGTTTACCTGACTTGAACCAACCTGAAAATTCAGGTCAGGTTAATAGATTTTCAGATTGATATCAGATCAGGTTAACAGGTTAACCTGACCTGACCTGACCCGACCGATAAAAACTCAGGTCAACCAATCATTCTTCTTGAATAATTTATTATTGTTAAATTAGAAAATAATAAAGTTAATTAAATAAATTAATAATTGTTTATTATATTATTATTTATATTAAATATTTTTTTTTTTTTTAGTTGCAATACCGGTACAAGGGGTCATGTAAGCGGATATTTAAGGTATTTAGCCATATCCTAAGTCTCCTTATAGGTCGTGTCTAGACACCTACGTTCTAGCCAGAACCAGCCCTGTATACTAGTCTGAAGATTGCCACCTAGGTCGACATCCCTAAGAGCTAGCCTTCAGGGTCCCTAGATCTCAGAACCACTGTCAAATTTAGATAGAGGGATCACTTTCAGCCACAGGTATTTTGTCAGATTTTCCCTATGCTTACTAATACCATATCTGGATCACTATTACCTCTGCCCGGTATCAGGGTATTTTTACACATGATCGGGAAGGCTTAGACATTTTATATCTTATAGAACCTCAGAAAGGTAGGTGGCTGTCGTACCCATATCGTCAAATTCACCCA